TAGATAAATATTATAAGTTAATTTCTAATAGTTGTGTTTTAAATCATTAAACCTCAAAGCACAGTCATTCTTAACATGAAGAAAATTGTATTTTGACACAATTAAACGCTGTCTTTAATCGAACAATTATAAAAATTATATTTAAACATAATAAGAATCGTATAATGAAATATTAGTGGTTAAGATATAACTTGTTCTTCTTAGTATGAGAGAAATATTTATGGGATCCTCAATGATTGTGACTAACAAATGCACGATCATGTTCAAATGAATTTTTGGATATCAATGTTACTTATTACATAATTTTACTTTTTATCTAGTTTAATCCTTACAAAGTTTTACTTGTATTATGAAATTAATCTCTATTTATCTTTAATTTTTATAATTTTATTTAATATTATTCTATAATATATTGATATTATCAAATAAAATAATAACTTGCATTATCCTTTATTAAAGGAAAAATAAAGAAAAAAACATAAAAATACAAGTCAAGAAAATGAAACTTAAATCTATTAAGAAAATAACTCAACACCCAATTATCAGACCGAACCTTAAATTGATTAGTATATATAAAAAAAAAATAGTATTTAAAATACTCTCAGATTAAAATTTATTGAAATTAATATATTTTTAAAGTAATAGTAATTTAAACATATATTAAATGTAAATTTAAATATTAATTTTGATACGTATATAATCCGTCGGACTATACTGCGTCAAAGAGAGACTTTAAGCCTATAAATAAAACTACTTTTGCAATATCTCAGCATCTCTGAAATCGAAACACAAGTTCTATACTTATCCATGGAAGATTCCAAAGTCAAGGCACGTTTGGCTGTGCTTACTGGTCACTTGGCAGCTCTTGATTGCTCCTCCACCAACCTGAATTCCTCCCTCCTCGACCCATGCTGCGTGTCGGCTCAGGCCGCCCCTTGCTCCGTCGGCGGTTCTTTAACCGTCGTCGACGAGCGAACCGGGAAGAAGTACCAGGTCCCTGTCTCCTCTGAAGGCACCGTCAAAGCTACCGATTTTAAAAAGGTTTTCTTTCTTAATCAATTTGTCTATGTTTTGTTTTGATTTGATTTATGTATAAAAAAAATCTGGTTTTGAATTTTAAGTATGAATTTAATTGCAGATAATGACAGGGAAAGATGACAAGGGGCTGAAAATTTACGATCCGGGTTACTTGAATACTGCTCCCGTTCGGTCGTCGGTTTCTTATATAGATGGAGAAGAAGGAATTCTTAGATACAGAGGGTACCCAATTGAAGAATTGGCTGAGAGTTCCTCATTCTTGGAAGTGGCTTACCTCTTGAGTATGCTTTTAAAATTACAACGCATCATTTCTTTATCCGATTTGTGATTGTTTGTTGGAATTGATTAATTATTTGTGAAACATACCTCAGGCTTACAAAATCAATTGAAATCCCTAATGGGTTAAATATTGTATGTAAATCATGTGACATGGCGTGCCTTGAAATTCAGTTGAGGTTTATGGGGAGAGTAAAGGGAGAAAAAAGAAGAAAGTTAAATGAATGGTAGATAGGGTATTAAGAAGGATCTTATGGTGTTTCTAAAGGGTCTTTGGATTACCTGTTAAAGTGTAAATAACTATTTGTTACTTCTATGCTGAAAGTTATCCTATTATGTTGATATGTATCTATGGCAAGATCCTCCCTATTTGTTATTAATTCTCTGACTGACTATTTGAGGATTAATCGTAGTTTCTGACCTCTCTAATCACTAATTGGCCTGACGTGACTTTAACTTAAAAAAAAAACAATTTACAACACTGTTTTTATTAAATTATACAGGATCAGTGAAGGTTTATATCACTTTGCTTTTGATTTCAATCATGCATTTACTTATACATTTTATTATGTGTTTAAATTACTTGCTATCACTTTTTCAGTGTATGGCAATTTGCCTTCTGAAGGTCAGTTAGCAGACTGGGAATTTGCTGTTACCCAACATTCGGCTGTGCCACAGGGGATTCTGGTATGCTTTTGTTTCTTCTAGAAAATAAACCATGTTAGTCCTTGTGATATTGCAATGTACATGATGTTTATGGTAAATATGATCATTTGCTTTTCTGAGTTTTTAAATTATTTGGTTTAAGGGTCAAATTCTAATTCTTTTTAAGCAATACTAATAATTGTGTTGGTTACTTGTAGTTGAACGGAAGTTATTCAACCTTTATCATGTTTTCTCTGTTTTGTAGGACATTATACAATCAATGCCTCATGATGCTCATCCGATGGGTGTACTTGTCAGTGCAATGAGTGCCCTTTCTGTTTTTCACCCTGATGCCAATCCTGCTCTTAGAGTAAGTTGATGGTTTAAGTTTGAAGTGATGCTTTATGAAGATTTATTTGAGTTGACATCGAATTGTTCTAGCATTTTGTTCAATCATGGTATTGTGTTCCATCTTTTGGGTTGAGCAAGACTGCAATGTTGCATCTTTAAGTCATGAACTTCTGTTGTTTTGCTGTGCTCTCAAATAATAACGTAAAACCTTTTCCGAAATTATTTTATTCTCAGAGTTTATGTGTTTAGATCTGCTATTAATGCAGGGCCAAGATCTTTATAAGTCGAAACAAGTGAGAGACAAGCAAATAGCTCGCATTCTTGGAAAGGTTTGTGCACTTAATTCCTTTTTCCCTCTGAACTCTGAAGCTTTTGTACTCTAAAGGAGTTGCTTCTATTCACGAGGACATATCTTTAACTGTGGTGCATGAACTTGTTACTTTATCTTGTCCTTTGAATCTGGATTTGCCACTGTTTTTTTCTTGTTCTGTTGAGAGATCAGTGCAAAACTTCATTCTGTTTTCAGGCACCAACCATTGCTGCAGCGGCTTATTTAAGGATGGCAGGAAGGCCTCCAGTTCTTCCTTCCAACACCCTTTCTTATTCAGAGAACTTTCTATATATGCTAGATTCAATGTACGTTATTTGGCACCTTTAATTCTGTCATTAATGCCTATGTTTGCAATTACTTTGGAAAAAAGTAACAGTTATATCTTCTGGCTTCTGTCAGTATTCCCAATGCTATTTTAACTTGTCATTGTCATCTAGGAGGCAAGAACTAGGCCTACCATTTCATAGCTCATGTATCCATTTTAATAACTTGCAGGGGCAACCGTTCTTACAAGCCCAACCCTCGGTTAGCTCGAGTGCTGGACATTCTTTTCATACTACATGCAGAACATGAAATGAACTGTTCCACAGCTGCTGCCCGGCATCTTGCATCAGGGTATGTCTATTAAAGTTATTGTCCTACTGTGCCATAACAACAAAAAATCTATGTATTAACTCTCAGTGTGTATCTGCATCTGTAGTGGAGTTGATGTGTACACTGCTCTAGCTGGAGCTGCTGGAGCACTATATGGTCCTCTTCATGGTGGAGCAAACGAGGTATGTAGTGCTAACTATTTTTCCGTTTCATAATAACTCAATGCTCATTGGTAATTTTCTGGGATTAAAGTTCTAAATGGATGGTGTTACAATATGATTGTTCAGACTATATAATTGCACTTGACATGTAGCATTATCCGTTTGTTTGTTTTCTCTTTTCATCATAAGCTGTTTGTGTGAGCAGTACCTGGGCATTTTTTCTTCTTCTTTCTCTTGGTTGTTATAGGCTGTTCTGAAGATGCTTAGTGAGATTGGATCGGTAGAGAACATCCCGGAATTCATTGAAGGTGTCAAGAACAGGTGACAGTTGTGTATAAATTTTGCTGTTAGTTCAAGTGGCATTAAACTGAAGGTTGCACATGCAGTGATATATTTCTTTCAAATGTTTTATTTATTTGTTCATCTATATTCATTTCTTTAGGAAGCGGAAAATGTCTGGTTTTGGGCACCGTGTATACAAAAACTATGATCCAAGGGCAAAGGTGATAAAGAAATTGGCAGAGGAAGTTTTTTCTATTGTCGGGCGGGATCCTCTTATTGAGGTGATTATTGATGACCCTCCAAATTATTTTCTTTTACATAAAGCAATTAACTTTTTCTCATACCTAATCTCTTTGTTGTTTAAATACTCCATGTTAAATTGGAACTTGTCCATTTTCTGATTAGGGTATAATAGCACATTGACTGGAAATTCAGTCATGTTGGCTTTATATTAGGTGGCAAATTCTGTGTATAGTATTATGTTTTTCAAATATGATTTTATTTTGTAGGTTGAAATAAAATTCATTTTTACTTTATAATTTTAAGCGACATTTCTGAACTTGTGTGTGGTTTCTTTGTTTACTGTAAATGTTTCAATATACCTGTCTCTTTTTTTTCACCGTTAATTTTATTTTCCTTTTGCAGGTAGCTATTAGTTTGGAGAAAGCCGCATTATCCGACGAGTATTTTATTAAGAGGAAGCTTTATCCAAACGTTGATTTCTACTCTGGGTTAATATACCGGTAACATAAGATTAATTGCTCTGCTCACTTTGAAAAACTAGACAAATATATAAGATACATTTTAGATTTTTCCTTCTCCAAGTGCTAGACTAGTGACAATTGAGGTTTTATTCAACAGGGCAATGGGATTTCCACCGGAGTTCTTCACCGTGTTATTTGCAATCCCTCGAATGGCTGGATACTTGGCACACTGGCGCGAGTCTCTAGATGATCCCGATACAAAGATAATAAGGCCTCAACAGGTCAGTCAATATTTCAGGGCTCAAAAGCTATATTATTTTAGTCGCCTGGTGATCAACATGAGAACGAAATAAAATATTGACATTTTCATTCCTAGCTTCTATATAGGCATGTTGTTTTCTTATAGTGTAGTGTAATTCTGTGTTTTTGGTTGCGAAAATCGCTATCAACTCTGACTTTAAAGTTAAAATTTTCAGGTTTATACTGGTGTTTGGCTACGGCATTATATGCCGCTAAAGGAGCGGATGGGGTCGACCGAAGCAGACAAGCTTAGTCAAGTATCCATATCAAATGCCTCAAGACGACGGCTCGCTGGATCTGGGGTTTAGGCCTCGAGGTGTTATTGTTGCGCAGCGAGCGAAATAAACGGCCTTAGTATCTCCATAAAAATAAAGTTCACTATCCTTGTCGATGGCTTTCTGTACGGGAATTGTATGTTTTTTTAGCAGAATCTAATGCAAGGAACCCGTTATTATTGATTCGATATTTAGACGTTGAATATTTATGTATAGCGTATATGGTTATAGAAACATGTTTAAACTGAAATTACTTAATATCATAATATTATAAATATTTATAATTAAATTTAAATAGAAATTTAAACAATTCGACTTAAATTCTATAAATTTGATTTAATTAACTTGAATTTTTTTTATTCGATTCGATCGAATATGAGAAAAGTCGGTACCTAACCTTGGCCCTTACGTTTTGTGGCAGCATGGCAAGATCATCGGGGGTTTAGTGAATTATTGCACATGGAGAAATTTGCAGGGGTTGGTTCAAAAATGGAATATGGAGGTGTTCGGACATATTCAGAAAAGGACAAGGATGAACAGATGGAAGACGGTTAAGGTGGGTCTCAAGAAAGCTTATAACCGATTAGACTGGGAATTTATTGATGAGATGCTTCAAGAAATTGGCCTTCTGAATTCACTTCGAAGGGTGCTTATGTACCACGTTTGTTTGGTTTCGATGCAATTGTTTATAGAATGCGAGTCTTTCAAGAGATCAAACAAGGTAAACCCCTTCTTTTTCTTTTGTTTTTGTCCTTAATTGAAGCCATTAACCTAGAGGTTGTTAAAGATGGGACGAGCATCTCACACCTTTTCTTCGGTGGATCATATGTGTTAATGTATAATATTATGAATTTGAGGTTGTTAATTTATCTTCTTTTTTAGGTATGGGTTAAGAGTAACAAATTAAATGAGAGAGTGGCCTCTTATTTATGTCTCTTTTGTATTGTACTTTATATATTTTAGAATTTGTAATTATTTTAGGATCCTTTCATAGGTCGCATCAAACAAACAAGAAGTTGGGGTTTGAGGTATAACGTATCATGTTTATTTTTTTTATGCAGTCCAACAAGTGATGATGATTTACGGTGATAATGCGAAGGTTGTAGATTTGAGATTTACACAAGTTGAGGTATAGTTATGTTCTGAATTTCTCTTCGACAGCTCAAATAATAACTTGTATTAAAAGATTCTCAAATTTCACGTTATTTAGATATTGATTTTTTTAAGTGTTCAAATATAAAATTTAAGCATCAATTTATTGAGTTACAGAAGACAATGGTCATGCATGTGTGCAAATGTCTAACTTAATACTTGAATAAATATGTGTTGATGATATATTTATGTGGTTTCTTTTAACAAAATTTATACTCTTTTTTTCCTTCATATTTTTAAGACATTGTTTTTTACTTTTTTATATTTTGACGCGATACCGTTAGGTAAGTAAAGATTCAACTTATCAAAATTGAAAATATTTTTTTTGCTCTTCTGATTTTTAAGGTTTCACCATGATTAATTCGGGTTGACTCAGGTCAAACGCCTAACATTAATGGGGGAGTCTCCCAGTAGATATTTTCTACTTATATAAGGATTTAAACTCGAAACTTGCTTAAGTAATATCAAACTGCTTACCAATGAACCAACACCGTTTCTAAAATTAAAATTAGTTTCGACTGTAGGATTGACATGCGATGTATTTGTCTATATGTCAAAAAAATAATAATCTATTAAATATACTTTAAATGATGTTATTTTTAAGTAATAATTTTTTATAAGTGATATTTTAGTTAAAAAAACTAAAATAATTTAGGAGAATGAAACAACCCTAACGTGGATCAGAAGAGGAAGAGTGGGACCAAGGACCCAGCCAATTAACAAAGTGACAAAAGGCCAAGCAATCAAGCAGTATCGTAAGGGACCCACTGGTTTAAAACCAACTTCCTCCATCACTTTCAAGTTTCAACACAGAGATCAAAAATCAAAATAAATTACAGAATACATGAAAAATCCATCGCTCAGCATAATTTATACTTCCAAGTTTAACGCCGGCCGGAAAATCTCCGTCCCGTTTACCGGTGATGATGCTCTCTCTCTTTTGTTTTCTGTCTTTCTCTGATGGATTCCAGTTTCTTCATTAGATCTCTGTTTCATTTTTTAAAATAATTATTTTATAATTTGAATTGGGCTATTATTTGAGCTTGATTAATGACGTTTCACCTGGGTGAAGTAGTTGATTTTTATTCCGATATAGGTGATTTGTTATTGGAAAATTCTCGGATCTGGTTTCCATTTCATTATTCAATTCAAATTCATGGCAAGAGGATTTTCTCTAAGCGTCCCATGGCACCAAGCGTGCATCTCATTGTCAATTTATGAATCTTAGATACTCGCTTCTATGTTCTAGTGTCCTTCTTGAATTGTAGATACTTCTTATTGAGCAGGAATGTCGCAATCAGGCAGTTTTCTGGTTCTCGTATTCTGGACTGGCTTTGTTTCCTTATCATGGTTGTATTCCTGGTTCTGCGTGTGATGCTGATCTCTGAGTGGGATTATTACTTGATACGGTGAAATGCGCATAGACTAGATACTAGAAACTTGTTCCACATTTCCTTCTTTTTAAAATTTTGAGTTTTATGGGGTTTGGATTGGAACTAGTTTGGTGTAATTAGATTTGAAACTCTGCTACCAAATTCGAAGTAATACTTTGAATACGTATGGGCAATCATTCACACAAAACAAATATCATCTAGTTACTCTTACAACGTGGCGGATGCAACTTGTTGCCCACCCTGAAATTAGAATTTCCTTCGGTTAATTATTCATTTTATTGATTTTGCCCACCCTAAAATTATATTCGTGGCCGCCCCTAATAGAAATTTTGTATTATTAATATATGTGTCCACCTTGAAAAATATTTTTAGATTCGCTACAATTTACAAACTAGCTTTTACATTTGTATTCTAGACATGATTAAGATAGAAAATGATGTTTAGATAATTAAAGTTGTGCAAAGGAAAATGAAGATACTAATTTTTTTATCCATATTATTATTATTATTATTATTATTATATTATTATTATTATTATTATTATTATTATTATCATTATTATTATTATTAAATATATATTAAATAAATAATAAATTACAGACCAATTACAACTGGACCGGCCCAGTTACAAACCAACCAGAACCGGTCCAAATCCAACCAGAAACCCTAAATACTTGGGTTTCCAGTTAGGGTTTCCTAACCCTAATTTACCCAGCCGCCTCAGCTCACAGCCGTTGGATCTGGCAAGATCCAACGGTCCAGATGGTGCCAGAGAGAAACCCTAGGGTTTGATACCCTAGGGCCACGCGGCGCCGCCCCAGCTTCTACGCGGCTGCCGACAGTTTTCTCGCCGCCTCCGCCGCTGCCACGTCCAGAAGGAAGACTCCAGAAGATCAACGCCAGCCGTCCATGCAAGGCTACGGGGTGAGTCACCACTGGTAGTCCGGTGACTCACCGAGGCCCCCTCTTCGGACCGGTCCGACAGCTACAACGGTGGTGGCTATAAAAGCCACCACCCGAACCTGAAAAAAAAAGGCAGAGACAAAAAAACTAGAGACAGAGACAGAAAAAAAAACAGAGAAAAAAAAAAACAAACTATACCAACGATCTCAGTCAGCATCAACACAGCAAGGAAAAAAGAGAGAAGAGAGGCAAAAGCTTACCCTGTCATCGGAGAGCCCCAACCGTCACCGGATCTCACCAAAACTTCGAAAAGCCGAAGGTATTATTGTAGATTTGCTCCGATTGGGAGCCGTTTAACGAAAAAAAACATCGGAACCGTCATTAGGACGGTCCGATCTACATTTAGGATAAAAAATATTTTTTCCGGCCACCGGCGGCGGTGGTCGGCCGGCGGCGGTGGTCGGCGGCAGAACTCGCGGTGACCGTCATTAGAATTCTCTCTCTCTCTCTCTCTGCTTAAGAAAGAAAAAAAAAGAGAAGAAATGAAATGGCTGGCCCTTCGGGCCAGCCGGTTTGGACTCTTATAGTCCTTCCCGAACGACGTCGTTTCGGGAAGGACTATGCGCGTAATTTTGAAATAGTTAAACACCGTCCGCAGTCCCTCGTATTTGTAAATTTTACATTTTGGTCATTAAACTGAATTTATAATAATTTTAATTCAGTCTTTGAATTTGAATTTTATTCATTTTAGTCCTTTTTATTAAAATAATATATTTAGGATAAATGACAGATTTAATCCCTTAATTTTAATAAATAAATTTTTTATCCCTAGTTCATATTTTTAATTAATTTTATTATAAAATTTGAATTTTAGATAATTTCATTTTGGTCACTAAATTATTAAATTAGAAAATAAAATATTTAATCCCTATAATTTCAATTAATTAGTAATTAGATTTAGTTTTATTTTTATTATAATTTAGTTATTTATATGTTTTCATTTTACTGCCTAAAATATATTGTTTTAGTGATATTTTTATTTTATTATATTGTTAAAATTTTTTATATATTCATAAATATACATATAATAAATAGTAATTTTTTAAATATTTATTTTTAATATCGAAGAAAAGGACAGTCTTAAAACAACTGGATGTCCTATTCTGATATTTTAAAATTAAAAAGTAAACAATATTATTTAAATTAATATTTATCAATATCAAAGAAAAGAGCTGTCTTAAGGCACCTAGAAGTTCTTTTCGGATATTTTTAAATAAATATAATTTTGAAAATAATAGGATTATAAATTAAATATATTTTTGAATTTTTAAATTTTAATAATAGAGACAATTTATAATTAAAAAGTACCAATTTTGGGCGTTGTAGGGGTGCTAATCCTTCCCTAAACGTAACCGACCACGAATCCCTTTTTATTATTAAAAAGAACGAATTTTTGTTTATAAACGCAGATCAGTTTAATTTTTTTTTTAATTGATGTTTTCTTAAAACTCTTTTAAAAGATATTTTTTTTAGGTATTCGACCTACCTGACCCAAAAGGCCGATGGCGACTCCCAAATTATTTTCAAAACCATTTATTCACATCACTTTTCCCGCCAAAATATAATATTTCGTGCCCGGACGAAAACCGGTTACGACAGCTTGGCGACTCCGCTGGGGAATTGGTCAAACTTTTAAAAATCAATTATAAATTGTCTCTATTAATTAAAAATTAAAATTTATATATTTAATTTTTAATTCTTTCTTTTCAAATTTTTTATTTTATATTTTCATAATATTTACATGTTTTAGTTTATTTGTAAATATTTTATTTCATTATTTATTTTGTCATAGGTTTGAACATTTCTCCTCACACACCACACTTGCATTGCATTACATAAAACTCTATAATTGAGTTGTCCCTTTTAAGTGGGAGTGAAAGCGACGTCTTCGTGAGAATTTATTCTCCGTGTCAGACCTAGCAAGTAACTTTCGGGGTTCATATGCTCTATGTCTTCGTGAGAATTTATTCTCCGTGTCAGGCATAGAGAAATGTATCCCCTCGAATTGAACTCGATCCACTTTAGTCTGTAATGGACTAGGATTGAGGGTTAGCAGCCTAAGGGGGCACTAACAAGGACAATTCGGGTACCTTTACTCCTAGATCTGAAACCCTGCATATAAAAAAAACCTTAGAAACTCTTCCAATCCAAAGTCATGCCAAAATTTTGTCCAAAATAGGTGTACACACAGGAGAAATGAATTCTGTCTTTTCTGTTAATTTATTTATTGTTTAAATTACATGTTTATTTAAATTATTTAAATTCAGAAAAGCATGTTTAAATAAAGAATATTTATGTAAATATTATTATTAAATTTCTTTATTATGTAAACTAATTTATTTTCTTTTTGTGTGTTCTTTATTTTTCTGTTTGCATTGCATCATACAGGATAAAAGACATTGATCCTTGTGTTAATTGTCTCATTGGAAAGCCTTCATCTATGGATAAAAAGTGTTCAAGTCAAATAATTCTAAACTCGGAAGTAAGACAGTGGGCTGAGGATTTACAAAGACAAGAAGGAGACAGTCTGCAGGATGATTATGTATCTGACTTGGCCAGTTATGCTTCAGTTTCACTAAAAAGAAATGATATGCAAGATTTGCGAAGCATTTGGGAAAGTT